GTCTGCTCTCTGGGGGCTGGCTGCCCGGTGTCGCGTGCTGGTACCGCGAAGGGGCATCCACCGCTGGTGCTGACGCTGACCGGATCATGCGTGTCCCAGCCGTCGGACAGCGTCCACTTGCTGTCCTTCAAGTCACGCGCGAGGGTCGCGGCCGCTCAGTCGGTCAGCCTGGAGAACCCGACAGACAAAAACTGGTTTATCACGCCGGTGCTTAAGGGAGAACACTGGCAAGGGGCCGGACAGCTGCAGGTACGGCGGTAGTAACTTGACGTCTATCGGCATGCATTTTGAGGATTCAAGGTTCTACAGACACGGACTATACGGCAGATGTTGGTAGGAGATGGCGACTATTCGCCCCGCCTCCTCCCCCACCCACACCACAATCGCTTCTTCCTATTCGTCGTGGTCTTCTTCTTGTCGTACCAGATACCCGCTAAGGGAACGGCTGAGTACACGATCGAGTTCTTCCCGCTGGCGATGACGTCAGCATCTCCTCCTCGCCCTGTTGGCGATGCGAGCGACCCCCGCTCTCGAGCGACACCCTCCAGCCGAAGTGGAGGTAGCCGTCAACAACAACAAGACGCTTCGCAGGTAATTGTTCTCTCGTTCGAGAAGTTGTTCAGCAATTTACAAGATTGTTCACGGGGCGACCCACCGTATGGTGCAGGGGATCAACGGTCGGTTGAAGATGACTCCGCGTGGCAATGGTATCATTGAATAGTGGTTCTTCCGGTCGTTCATTCAAACTCACGGCGAGTGAGTATGTTTCTTGTTCAGGCCACTCCGAAACCACGCAGCCGAGATGCGAAAACTGCATCCAGGAGGAAGAATGCGGTTGAGACACATTTCTCAGTGGTTGTTTCCTTTTTATCGTCCCCTTCTGGGATCGGGTGGTCTTTGCCAGTCGTTCGTGTTTGCGTAGTTGGTGGTGCGAGGTTAAATCATAACCAGGGAGAACACCAAGAAAACCGAGAAAGCGACAATAGCGTCTCATGTACCGTGAACACGCACTCAGAGAAACTGGTGTGATATAGAAATGTTCACAAAACAGCTGATGCTTGGTCGGCATGATCGAACAGTTCTCAGTTGCTGCTGCTTTTGCTGCTTTTGCTGCTTTTGCTTCGTGATCGCCTGAGCGCAGGAGAAACAAGGAGATGATTCGCAAGGGGACGCAAGCAGCAGCGCCACTATCGCTATCGGGCTTGACGGCAAGCCGGTCATGCTCTGCGGGTCGTTGTTCTTTGCCCTCCCGGACGGCGGGGCTGTGCTGTACAGGCTCGAGGGCGAGGCAGACGGGCCAGAGGCCGCGTCTAGCGAGGAGCTGGAGACGCCCGCGAAGACCGCGCTGGCGTTCACGCTGCCCGTTGCTAACTGGCTTCGACGTGGTCAAAGGTAGGATATCTCGGGAGTCACAATTGTTGTCTTTGAACGTCACGTTGCTGTACCTTTGATGCTGTTTGATCGGTGTTCTTTGCCAACATTATATGTGATAGAATACAGAACAAGCCTTGCTTTGTGAAATCGAGTACCTGCTTTGCTGAACCGTAACCATTACGGTTCACGGGATGAAGTGTTTCTGATTCGGCACGTTGGCCCCTGATTTGCCATAACGGACGACAGCCAACGATAGTTTGCGAAAACACGCGTATCCTACATTCCTGCGGTCAGGTTCACAATGAAGGCCGTTCTCGAGTCGGGGGCTTCTTCATCGACAACGCTATCCGGGGCCAAAACCATAGAGGTACGCTTTGAAGCATGAGACCACACCTAGGGAACCCCCCCAGGCGGTGTCTCACCATACCAATCGAAAGAGAGGAAATGGCTAAGGAGCGGTGTCGATTCTATGTAGAGTCACGGTCGTGCCTTTAGCAGACTAAACACTCCACCTCTGGAGCCGTTTCTCGTGGAATGCGATACGAACGAGATGGGTCGAACTCCTCGACAAGGGGTACAGAAGTAGCCAAATCTCTGAGACAGGAATCTGCGTTCCGTGCAAGAGTTCGGACAACGGTTAGAGATACCGGTACCGGTTGTTGCAGGGTAGGCCCTAGATCACGTGTACCGGGTCCAATCAGCAAACAGCCCTTTGCAGGGTTACGCATTCAGTCATTTCCATGGTTAAGGACAACGGCGACAACTTATGTTTGGTTACGCTAACAAAAGGAAACAACATCGACGGCAGGTACCGGCGCTTGCGACGAAGGACTTCGCGCTGCGGTTCTTGGCCTTCAAGGAAGGCGTCACCACCGCCACGGTTACCTTCACCAACAACGAGACCGACGAGTATCTATTCCACCGCCTCACGTTCAAGGTTACGCCCCCTAACGTCCAGGTATGTATGCGAATGGGTGGCTGAGAAGGCAGGTGGCTGAGAAGGCAGCAGGGACACCTCGAAAGGCAACGCAATCACGCGTTTGATGCTATTCCAGTTGTTCGAAAACTGTGACCGCCTTTTCTTGCCCCGTGTTGTCTTGGTTTGTACGGGGTGTGGCACATTCACGAGCGACGGCACCAGGTGCCCACCGACTTCCCTTCCATGATGTATTGGATGGACACATCTCGAGAACATCTCGTTGAGAGCTCCTGGAAAACCATATCCAACGAGTGCCTCTATCTGAGGGACCAGTTCGGCTTCGTGTGGTGGGACTGGCAGTACCTCCAACCGATAGTACGAGCTTGTGTAACTCCCTCCTTGTCATATCTTAAATCGCTTCGCCAGGCGTCGAAATCGCCTCCCTCACCACCGCCAGCAATTCGACATTTTGCCTTTTCCCGTGTTTATGTCCTTTCCAGAGACCGGAGAACACCTCACGGCAGGAGGCCGTAGACACCGCTGACAGACTGTAAATATTTGGTGGGATACCATGACTAGAAAACGAGCACGTTCTGCGAGAGAGGCGGGCACTCTGTGTACCTCACATATCCACACCGAAGTGCTTGTTGTTCTTGCAGAAATCATGCGAAAACACCGGACAGCAAGCACACATGGCACGAACCGACACCTCATGGTCCAAATCTCGTCTGCCTTGCTCGGTTTTCTTGACGCATCACTGGGAACAACGCCCTCATAGGAGACGATCGTGCTAGAGGGGTCTGTGCGCAGCCTCACGCGCCGCCTGATCACGGTGGCGAACCCCCTGCGTCCGGACGAGCCCATCACCTTCCCGACAGGAGACCCCGCTGCTGCTGCCGACAACGCCGGTCCTGCAGGCGGTGTTGGAACCGCCGCCGCAGGCGGTCACGCTGAGGTGGGCACCTCTGATTGTTTGTAGTGCGGCGTCAAGCAGGTGGTGGGAGCGGTAAAATATGGAGGCCGACGGTAGCAGCGTGGAGAACGAAACGTTTTGCATACTAACATTGTTCATGGTTGTGTGTCAATGTGGTATTTCTTTTCTTTCAGGGTTGGTGGAGATGCTCGTCCCCGCATGTGCGCCTGGTGCGCGTCGGGGAAATGGCCGGCAACTTGGAAGGCGTGTTCGCGGTGGACTACCGGCCCCTCGTGGCCACTGACGACCAGAAGCCACAAGAGGCGGAACTTAGCTTCGACATCCAAGAGCTGGGAACTTACAGGTGTTTATTTTTTATCAGTAGTGCAACACCGACCATGCCAACCGCCTGACCAAAGAAAATCCGCGATTTTTGCGACTGGGGTACTTCTGCGGTTCTGTGATAAGGATCGATCGCGCTGGCCAACTGACCAACGAGCACTCGTGAGTCTCGGCGGGAAAATAGCTGCTCGTGGGTGCGTGCCGTTGCCAAATTCTGACTGTGTGTGTCTCCCGATTGGAAAATGTATCAGTTTTTATGAGCCATATGTGAGCGGGGTGGGCATTAGCGCTCTAATTCGTACGGAATTAGTTGTTGCCCCGCGTGTCCGTGCGTTTCACACATAAGTACAAATGGATCCAACAAAAATGAGCTCTCTTTCGACAGAGACAACTAATGGAGTCGACCAACGCAAGGGCAACGGTGCAAACGGATAACAAGTGCATCCCTTTTAATTTGAAAACAAAACATAGTAAAAAATCCCACAAACGAGACAACAACGTAGGGTCCGTTTCCCTGTTGTGTCTCCATGCCATTAGTACCAAACAGTGGAAAGTATCATTGGGTTACGTATGTTTCCAGGGTAATTGTGATCAATTTGGCAGTTGTCAAAGGTTCACTGCTGTCGCCCCTTGCCCAGCTCCCCCTAGCCCCCCCCCACTCCCCAACCCCTCTTACTTTCCACTTCCCCTCTCTCGCCACCCCCCCCCCCTCCCCGTCACAGGTATACCCTTCAGCTTTCCGCCAAATCGCCCCCTTCGAGTTCCTCCCTGCGTTTCGAATCAGCTCTCGGGGCAACCCAATCCGAGGCGTTCGTGATGAAGGTGTGGAAAGACACCAGGGTTGCTTAAACAAACATGGTGGCTAGTGGGAAGGTTGTTGTCCTTGTTTATGTTGTTTGTTGGTATGTAGGGTACGGTGGTGTCGTTCTTGGTAGGTGTCGTTGATGTTGGTTGCTGACGGTGGTGGAAGCATCACAAAATACCGAAGCGTTGTCGAAGGGAGAGACGTCGGAGGGAGAGACGAAAAAATTCTCGCAGTTGATGGAAACACTTTGGGAGAGCATTCATGCATGTCTCGATGGTTTTCCCGTGCCCCTACAGACTTTCGTGAGCAACACGCTCTACAACCAGTTCTCAGAGCATGAAACGTGACAAGAAGAGCCGTGTGAGAAACACAACCACAAACCGCGCATGACCAATCATTCGTGACCGTCATTTCACACGATGAAGGTCTTCAACGCTTCGGCTGCCGAGCCAGTGGATTTCGAGTGTCACCTGGAAGGTGGTCAGGGAACACACTTCAGGGTGCCAACAAAGGTATTGACACGTGTATATACTTTGTCCTTCCATCTGGCATGGGTGAGGCCTTGCACGTAGGGAACGTCTATCAGCGCAACAAAGTGATCGAGAAAAATTGACAACTGCATAATTTCCTGGTGCCAGCTAGCGGTTCGTTTGCCTTGACATCCGAGACGTTTTGTTGTTGCTTCGATGTCTATCCATTCCTCGATTCGGCTCACGCTAGTTTGAATCGTGCGGTCGAGGTCCAGTACAGGTTTGCTTCGTTCAGAGGAATCAAGCGAGCTCAACAGGGGATCACGTTTCCGGGGTGTCACCCGCGAAGGAACACACCAATTCTTGTTCCATTTTCGTCTATTATAGCCTCTCTTGTTCATTCCACCATCCTTCCCGCTCATCCCGATACACCGGCTTCAGGTGACCGCGCCCCCGTGTTCATCCTGGGACGGCCAAGATGTGCGCGTGGAGGTAGTCTTCGAGCCGGAGTGTACGGGCGAGGTAGGGGACACGCTGGTCCTCTCGTCGGAGCAGCACGGGAGCTACCGCTGCAAGCTCAGGGGTCTGTGTAGCCCCCCTCTGCCGCAGGTACGTTCTTCTTCTTGTCGTTGATGACGATGCTGCTATCGATGCCTCCACATTGAAAGCCGGGCCTTTTCACGAACAACCGCCTTCGCAGGCTGTCCATGCTCGAAATGCCGGGGCCAAGTAACACCAAGGGCTCTACCCCACCTCTTCCCCCATCGTCCCTCCCGTTCCGTCTCAATCGAGATGCGTCGGCAAGGATCCAATCAATCACCATTGTGACGACATTGAAGTCACCTCCCTCCCCCTCCGGCCTCACTTTGATTGCTTTCCCTTCGCTGACGCTCTCGCCCAAATAAAACACTTGTTGTCATGGGCATACAAACTTAAACTCTCTTTCACGGTCACCCACACAACAACCACAAGAGCACCCGTCCCCTTCCACCTCCGCGAAGTAAGATCTTGCCCCACGCACGTTCCCCCCTGGTGTTCACATCTTTCTCCTCTTGGGACGTCAAAACAGGGGCCCTTCACAATTGCCCCAGGTGGGCAGAGAGAGATCCCCTTCCGGAACGTGTTCGCGGCGGCGATGGACTTCACCTTTACGTGCGACAACCCTGCGTTTGCCGTGGTCAGCGGCGACAGGCAGAACGTCGCGGCCAAGACGTCCAAGTCGGTCACCATCAAGTTCACTCCTACTACTACACAGGTATGCTCCGAACACACGTACGTCTTGCTTTCGTCTCTCGTCTTTCATTGCGTAGAATACTTTTGCACGGCGAGCTACAGGTCCCTAGTCAGTGTTTTGGACAATTGGCTGTTGCCTCCGAACATCATGATATGGCCGTCGTTCGATAGTCGATAGTCAGGCTGCGGAGATGTTCCTCCTTCGCGCTACCAACGACCCAAATCGCCAACACGAAGAGGAAATGCCGCCCTGGCTCGGAGTGCCGCATTCCTGTGGCACGTTTTATCTTTAAAAAAAAATCGGTGTTCCCCCCTCCGGCTGCGAGACACAATAACGAAGCCAATACTCAACGGTCTAAGCCGTCCATGTCCATCACAACCAGTGAGTGGCTACCTCCCCCACCCAACCAACCGCCGTAACACCGCTCGAAAAATAGTTATAGCAATCAATGTTGCAAGACAAGGAAGACAAGGGATATTGGCATGCACCTGTCTTACCCCATCGTGAATCCTGTCTGGGTGACAAAATCTTCACGAACTCAGACTACGGGTGGCAGTTCTTCTACTACCACTACAGCCGAGGCCAGCAGGAGTATAGCGGGGAAGCTCATCGTCCAGTGCGCTGGAGTCAAGGGAACGCCTCCGTGGGTGTTCTATCTTCATGGGATTTCGCCGCCACCCGCGTAGTGTATATAGCTGAACGTATCCGTTCGCTTTGGGACTGCTAAGCCAGATTTTGTATTGAGAGGAAGGCGTAGGTGTTGTTGCGTAAGAAGCGCGTTCT